TATTAGTGTATATTATAATTTTGTGCTTAGTAAGGAATAGGATAAGTTTGGTGTTTCTATTGATAGTTATTTGTATATGTGGTATGTGGGGTGAATCATTCATAAAGGAGTGATTCGAACACAAGAGGACATCGAAGTACTGCTCGAGAAGAATTCGTACGTAATTAGCTGTTGAGTCATTTATAAACAGGAAGGGGGGGGGGGGTTTAGTGCCAGGATTAACGAGCATTTTCAGGATATATTCACCTAAAGGTGTACCCCCCTATTTCTCAGAGTATTTACATTCGAGGTTTACTTTAGTCTTGTAGTATATCCAGGACTTAAGTATACTTGCTGGCTGGTCATTGTGGTGGCCTTAAACCCAACATCTAAGGTGCTGGTGTTGGGTTTAACTCTGATAACTTATTTGTCAACTAGCAAGCATATTTTAACCCTATACATTGTCCAGGACTAACGATTGATTGATAAAGATCAAGCCACCCAAAAGGTGGCACGGGCATGAATAGCCCGTAAGTGGTGGCCCTTTTGAGCCATTACCAGTATCAAGAGCTGATACTGGAGATCTGTGGAGGTGCGACTGCACCCTGCGTGACGGGAGATGTCTCCCGGACCAAATGGTGACCAGATGATGCCAGGACTAACACAAGCTCCCAGTGTATATATACCGAGACGCTAGGTACACCTCTTCTACTAGGCTACACTTGGCAGTTGCTACATTACTCTTATTTTTGGTTAAACAAGTTTTTGCCTGATCCAATTACGGTGTGTCTGGGGCGAGGCTATGGCCGCGTTTATTGTAGTTCAGGACTCGTCGTGGTGGTGTAACACAGGAGGCTTCATGAATTCAGTTCAATTGATGCAATTGTATGTCTTTAGTGCGGCATATACTCATGCTGACCAAATGTTCGTTAACCCAGAAGCTAACCCCCATGAACCACTGTCAATGGACTCGTTAGACCAGCAGTTGACCCAATCAATTCTGGTCTAATGCTCGTTTAACCAGCAGCTGGCCCCTAAACCCTCGTATAATGCTCGTTAAACTAGCAATTGATCCCATAAACGTTAAACGTTAAACCACCAGTTGACCCAATAAACGTTTGTTTGCATATACTAAACAGTTTATGAGGGCCGAAGCACTACGAGGTTGTTTACAACAAGAACAACCTTCAGTTGTGAAGTTTCCAAGCTCGTAACCTGTTTAATAAATACAAACAAGGGTGCCATGATTAAGGAAAGATGTACAGGTTTCGTAAGTAGTCCCCCTTAACTGCTTGATGATTCCTGATCCAGATCTTGACTCCTCATTTGCATCTTAGGCGAGCGTACCAGAAGTGATGAGTCGACCCGTTCGTGAACGTTGGACTCGTCAATCCGGATCCGGATTCAATGACAATTTCCTTCTTAGATATAATTTTTTTTTCTAGAGATTTCAGGATTGTCAACATTTGCGTCTTTGGGTAGTGTTCAACTGCCTGTAAGTACGCAGTTCATTTTGATATTTTGTAAGATTGTTCTTTTAAGGCATTTGTGGTCAAGATTGTGTTTGTGCTGAGGATTTCAACAATACAATGATTTGATTTTTTTTATTTTGCATGGAAGAGTATCTTTGGATATCACAAGATTCCATACAATACATCTATTGGGTATAAGAACGTGATTGACAACACATCTATTGGATATAAGAACGTGAATCATTGGATATAAGAACGTGAATCATTGGATATAAGAACGTGAATCATTGGATATAAGAACGTGAATCATTGGATATAAGAACGTGAATCACACCACATCTATTGGATATAAGAACGTGGGTTCTTAGGAACGATAGGAACGAACCTATCTGCCGCACAGTCACCACTGTCAAGCACAGTCAAGTGCCTCACTGAGGCACTTGGCCCCCAGCACTTGGCCCCAGCACTTGGCCCCAGCACTTGGCCCCAGCACTTGGCAAAGGTGTGACCAGCTAGAGAAGCAGGTCACCGGGATGGTCAAGGCCGCCCGCTCCAGCTGATTGTGATGGTTGGCAAGAGGAAGGTGAGGGTGTGGTTGTCGAGGGTTGGGGATGACCTCATGCCGGTCGTCAGTCATGTTGTTCTTCGATGATGACTGATTGTGTCACGCTGTAGCCCAACATACATAGCCCCGCTCCTGTGCCAGGTAAGTCCACTACGGGCTCACCATAGCCCGTGCTACTTGGAACTTTTGTTCTGAGTAGCTGAATCTAAAACAACAACATGTAGCCCAAGACACGGGTTCAGGGGGGACCCCGGGGCAGCGTGTGTACAGGGGGGGACCCCGGTTATCTTGAGATGATTTCGGGGCTTTAGTGTCCCCGCGGCCCGGTCCTCGACCAGGCCTCCACCCCCCAGGAAGCAACCCGTGACAACTGACTAACTCCCAGGTACCTATTTACTGCTAGATAACAGGGGCATCAAGGTGAAAGAAACTTTGCCCGTTGTTTCTCGCCGGCGCCCGGGATCACAGGATTACGCGTACAGTGTTCTGTCCGCTCAGCCACCGACTCTCTTGGCTTGGAGTAACAAGAGGAAAATGTATATTTTAAAACCGGTTGCTCCCTCCCCGCTCCCACGCCTCCCCTCCCGGACCCTGTTATCCTGAGTCATTGGATATCTTGCCAAAGTAGCAACTGGGGCGTTATCTTATCATCTCGTACGTGTCTTCCCGCCTCTGTGTTTGGATGGGTCACCCATCCACTGACTGGTTGACCTCTATGTTGTCCTCTACCCTATGTTGACCTGTTCTCCATGTTGTCTTCCACCCTATGTTGACCTCTCCTCCATGCTGACCTCCGCCCACCAATCTTGAAAGTCTGGATTGACAAATTTCAGTTAATTATAGGTTTTAATTAAGCCGTTCTGTGTGTTTAGGGGCGATTCTCGCTTATGGGGTTAACTGCATTCAGGAGACCCTAGTTCGACTCTCGCTGGCAAGAGATTTTATTTTGTGGATTTATGGAACAATTTACTGGAAAACGTAATAGACGTGGGGTCGCTGGAGTGTTTCAAGCGTAGGTTAGACATACATATGAATGAGTTTTGATGGATATAAATAGGAGCTGCCTCGTATGAGCCAATGGACCACCTGCAGTTTCCTTTATTATGGTCTTATGAGGCATTTAGGAAAGTAGGCCTTCAGACTTTAAAAGTCTTCAGAACATTGTTCAAACGATGGTCAGAAAGCTTCGACTGATAACCCAACGATGGTCTGAAGACTTTGACTGATAACCCAACGATGGTCTGAAGACTTTGACTGATAACCCAACGATGGTCTGAAGACTTTGACTGATAACCCAACGATGGTCTGAAGACTTTGACTGATAACCCAACGATGGTCTGAAGACTTTGACTGATAACCCAACGATGGTCTGAAGGCTTTGACTGATAACCCAACGATGGTCTGAAGACTTTGACTGATAACCCAACGATAGACTGAAAGCTTCGACTGATAACCCAACGATGGTCTGAAGACTTTGACTGATAACCCAACGATAGACTGAAAGCTTCGACTGATAACCCAACGATAGACTGAAATGAATAAGGAAAAGTAATCATCCGTATAAAGTGCAACGGAAGTATGATTATATGACATGAAAGGGTTAGGATGACAGGATAGGAGCTGGGATAGAAGGGTGGATTGAAGGAAGTGCCGCCCAACCACTTGAACTATCGAAGAACGAACGCCGACCCTGCAAAAAGCGAGACCATCCCTGTACCAACCAAGCCGATAACAGCACAACGGCCCAAAAGGCAAAGCTGTGTGATCGAAGCTGAAGGAAACAGTCAATTCCCTCCTGCCTGGTACAGGTTGTATAAACCTGTGATAAAGGCAGCATCTGGGATGATCTCGGACGTAGGTTCGAATCCTCGTCACGGCCCTTGTGGATTTGTTCAGGTTGTATAAACTGCTGCGCCTCGCGTGGCCTTTTGTGATGGCGCAGAGAACACACCTGGCAGTGTGGCGAGGTGACAATATGTCTGTCGTGTTTCATTCAGTTTTGAGTCAGGTAGGTCAGTTATGATATAGATCAAGGGATAAGTAAGATACATTGATAAGGAATCTCTCTCTCTCTCTCTCTCTCTCTCTCTCTCTCTCTCTCTCTCTCTCTCTCTCTCTCTCTCTCTCTCTCTCTCTCTCTCTCTCTCTCTCTCTCTCTCTCTCTCTCTCTCTCTCTCTCTCTTACAGAGGTGGGTACAGGACTTGTGACTCCTGCTAGCAGGCTTAGAGCTGTACCTTGTCACAGATCTCAAGCCTTACCCCCTGAAAGGTTTTCCCTGGAACACGACCCGTCACTCGGTTTACATCCAGGTACCCTATTGCTGCTACTTGGGGAACAGTTAAGGATTAAACATAATGAAGGTATATGCATTTAAGATGTATACTACGTGATTATATTATAAAACAAAAACTTGATTGATTGACCATTGAGAGACGGGCCAAAAGAGCGGAGTTCAACCCCCGTAAGTACAACTAGGTAATACACACACACACACACACACACACACACACACACACACACACACACACACACACACACACACACACACACACACACACACACACACACCTACGCGTGCGGACTAGATGAGGAAGCCGTCGAATTCAATTCGACACGTTTAAAATGTAACTATGATAAAAAAAATGAATGAAAAGTTATTGTTTAGAACTACTAATGGTCGAAAGACGGAGCTTAAGAGCAGATTCTCGACCCTTCAAGCACAACCAAGTGAGAACTCTCACACACATGTAGCGTCTATAACAAGTTATCTACGACACGATAACCTTCAGGATATACCAATTAATAAGAGCTACGATAACATCACAACTTCAAACAGTGTAAATTGAATGTGCTTTACAGCACAAAATACAATAAGCTAGGCTGATAAATGCAAGCCTAGTCGTTCAATAGACACACTATGGCCTTATCTGTTCAATAAGAGAGCTGATAAGGCAATCGGAGCTAATCTTCAGTGTCCGCCATGTATCAATACACCTGCACCAGTACCGCCACCCTCTTCATCACAGACACACATACCTACAATCATCTCGAAACAATAACGTTCATTCTCAACTGCCGATCTCTGCTTGATACAATCCTCGACGTCAATATACGCAGCAGGAGAGTGTCTGACTGCCTTCAGCTCCAACGAAGTTCAATCTATCCAAGAGACAAGTTGAAGAAACTTTGAAGTCTTGGAACTTGGAAAAAAGATTGAAGCTTGAACGTTGATTATCTCCAGGAGACAAAGGGGGTGTTTGGAATTTTCGAAGCCTAGCCGTTGAGTTTGGCGGATCAAGATGGCGCGCGGGAAGGGGAGCGGGGCCATGGAGGAACACCTGGAGCTCTTGCAGTACCTCTTGTACATCTTCAACTCTGTGTTCTTCGTGAGTATCCGGGCCTAGGAAGCTGTGTTGGGTGGCTATTTGTTTTCAACCATGTTTTCGTGACTTATTCTCTGTTTAAGATATAAATAAGTTTAATATATAAGTTTAATAGGGATTTCAGTCAATGCGTCAGAATATTGGAACGTAAATAACGCATGCGAGACGTACTTCTCTGTCTTGTATAAACCTGTTCTCCCAGTTAATAAGTCTCATTTATTAAGAGAATTGACCAGTATGTTAAAAATGCGATCTATTTGTATAATTTTTACGCCGTAATGTTCACGTTTTCTATGCATCAGTCTCGATAGGCTTGGTGGGTTGCTTGGGTTCGCACGTTTCTGGTTACGCAAACCAGTTGTATTTTTTATGAAGTAGCAACTTGAGAGAGCGGTCCGAGAGATGCCCAGCTTCGTCTGGTCGGGACGACGACACCCTCGCTGAGAGGTGCCCAGCATCGTCTGGTCGGGACGACGACACCCTCGCTGAGAGGTGCCCAGCATCGTCTGGTCGGGACGACGACACCCTCGCTGAGAGGTGCCCAGCGTCGTCTGGTCGGGACGACGACACCCTCGCTGAGAGGTGCCCAGCATCGTCTGGTCGGGACGACGACACCCTCGCTGAGAGGTGCCCAGCATCGTCTGGTCGGGACGACGACACCCTCACCGAGAGGTGCCCAGCGTCGTCTGGTCGGGACGACGACGCCCTTGCTGAGAGGTGCCCAGCGTCGTCTGGTCGGGACGACGACACCCTCGCTGAGAGGTGCCCAGCGTCGTCTGGTCGGGGCGACGACACCCTCGCTGAGAGGTGCCCAGCGTCGTCTGGTCGGGACGACGACACCCTCGCTGAGAGGTGCCCAGCGTCGTCTGGTCGGGACGACGACACCATCACCAAGTGTGCAACGGCTCACTAAAGTGGCACTTTGTTTCACCATCATAACTGGGCGTTAACGACCTCGTTGTGGTGGTGCTGGAGATAATACAATCAGTTAATCAATCACCCACACGCACCACAGTGCGTGCATCACAGCCTGGAGGAACTAAACTGTTACCAGCGTCACTCGGCAGGAGAAAGTTATAATGGAGCGCATAGAGGTGTTTAGATTCAGGAAAGACCTGGGTAAATACTGGTTTGGAAACAGGATTGTTGATCTGTGGACCCCATTACCGGGTAACATAATGGACTTGAGATCGAGGAATTGTTTCAAGCGTAGGTTAGACATACATATATATATGAATGAATTTGGGTGGATATAAATAGGAGCTACCTCGTACAGCTAATAGGTATTCTGCTATTTCCACTATTTTATGCGTTTATGACTTAGAGGAGAACAATCATGTATGACAAGCTTAATAGAGTTCTGCAACAATGTTACCAAAATACGGCGCGAGGAAGAAGGCAAGATAGGCTGCATTTTCCTAGGCTGTCAGGAAGCATTTGACAATACTCGTCGTCAAGTGTACAAGATGGAGAAACAAACTGCTGTAACTATGGAAACATTAAGCTGGACGGAGGTGTACCTAACGGGCAGAAAACCCTACATACCACACACCGCTCAACCACAACAGTCCTTCCACCAAGAAGAATGATAAAGTATCTTATCAAGGTTGGAGAGCCCGCCACCACCACTTGAATAACGGGCAGTACTGACCACGAGGTTGAAGGACGAAAAGAATTCTAGTGGTCACGTGTTCCTCTTCATTCCACTGTTCCCTGGTGACCATAAGCTGTTCCCTTGTCCATTCCACTGTTCCCTGATGACCATGTGGAGCACAACATGGCCGTCAGAGCACATACTCCCAGGGCATGTGCCCTAGGAGCCACACCTCAGATACGTCACTGCACACAGCGTAATATTTTTTACATTTTTTACTATGTATCAAAGCGTAAGACATTGTAGTTACGTTGTTACACAACGTCTCCTCTCGTCTAATACGTCATATCTTCTACGGAATCGATCAATACGTTAAAAATGTGACTTACTAGTACAAATTAAAGCACCGTAATGTTTATGTTTTCAATGCATTGGCCTCGGTAAGTTAGGTGGGTTGCTTGGGTTCGAACGTTTCTGATTAGGTAAAACAGTTCCATTTATTTTTTTTACCGAGTGGCAACTTTTGAGAATAGGCTATTGCGTTCAAATATTGACTTTTGAGAATAGGCTATTGCGTTCACATGTTGGCTTTTGAGAATAGGCTATTGCGTTCAAATATTGACTTTTGAGAATAGGCTATTGCGTTCACATATTGACTTTTGAGAATAGGCTATTGCGTTCAAATATTGACTTTTGAGAATAGGCTATTGCGTTCACATATTGGCTTTTGAGAATAGGCTATTGCGTTCAAATATTGACGTTTGAGAATAGGCTATTGCGTTCAAATATTGACTTTTGAGAATAGGCTATTGCGTTCAAATATTGGCTTTTGAGAATAGGCTATTGCGTTCAAATATTGACTTTTGAGAATAGGCTATTGCGTTCGAATATTGCAATAACAATGTTTTCGTACCTTACAGCTGGCAGCATCAGCGGTGTTCGCCATGACTCTGTGGGTTCGGTTCGAGAACAACATGAACAACTACATGGAGGGCCTGTCTATGTACACATACTGGAACATCACCGTCGCCCTGATGGTGAGCGCCATCTTGGTGATGATGACCTCCTTCCTCGCCTGCTGCGGCGCCTACTTCAGGAGTAAATGTCTCCTCGGGACGGTAAGTGTTTGGTGTGGTGCTGGAGGCCTCATGTATATGATGCTTGGTGCTAGGAGTAAGGGAAGTTTGGTGCTGGGACGGCGGGAAGTTTGGTGCTGGGAGGGCGTGAAGCTTGGTGCTGGGATGGGAAGGTTGGTGTAAGTGAAGGTTGGTGCTGGGAGTGTATCAGGCTTGGTGCAGGGAGTGTATCAGGCTTGGTGCAGAGAGTGTATCAGGCTTGGTGCTGCCCAGTCACAAGCTGACCTAGTAGGTGGACATCGATACACTTAAGAACAAGCTTCCTGTTGCCTACAACGGGCATTAATAATAGTAAATAATAACAAAAGTTATATGTAAAAAATACGCTTAAGAACACGATAATTATTTGTCACAGAAAATATATATTAAATAAAACCACTAATACGTCCTCTCATGTCATTAATGTCCACTTCTCCCTGCCTCTGATGTCACTAACGTGCACTTCCCGCCCTCTGATGTCACTAACATGCACTTTTCCCGCCCTCTGATGTCACAAATATGCACTTTTCCCGCCCTCTGATGTCACAAAAATGCACTTTTCCCGCCCTCTGATGTCACAAATATGCACTTTTCCCGCCCTCTGATGTCACATATATATGCACTTTTCCCGCCCTCTGATGTCACAAATCTGCACTTTTCCCGCCCTCTGATGTCACAAATATGCACTTTTCCCGCCCTCTGATGTCACAAATATGCACTTTTCCCGCCCTCTGATGTCACTAACACGCACTTTCCCCGCCCTCTGATATCACAAATATGCACTTTTCCCGCCCTCTGATGTCACTAACATGCACTTTCCCCGCCCTCTGATGTCACTAACATGCACTTTCCCCGCCCTCTGATGTTATGGACCCAGTACATGACGATGACGGTGGTAACATTCCTCCTTCTGCTGGGGGAGTCAGCGTTCATGCTGAACCATGGTCTCGAGGACTCTCTACTCTTCCCTTACATCCAGGATACCATGAAGAGCCTGATCCACCAGTATCAGTGGGATACAGCGGCCAAGAGAGCCGTGGATATCGTCCAAGAATATGTGAGTCTGTCAGTGAAATATGTGAGTCTATCAGTGAAATATGTGAGTCTATCAGTGAAATATGTGAGCCAGTATAGTTCCTCCACTACAAAAGTAAGAATCTATTATCGTTTGCCTCGCTAGAGAATTCGTGAGTCTGCCATTATTCCCTTACCATAGAAAACGTTATTTGTGTTTGGCAAACTGTCATAATAACAATAGAATTGCATGATGCAGAATTGGTCTGACGTGGAATGCATCACTATTGTGTTTGAGGCAGACTGTAAACATTGAAGAACATCTTTGTCCACAGATCGGATGTTGTGGCGGCTACTCTGCTGATGACTACACCAATATCCACATGCCTATCCCAGACACCTGTCGTGACCAGGTAAGTCTCGCACACCTGTCATCAGAGGAAACATTCAGTTGCCAGCCCACTGCGCTACAGGACCCTCTACATATTGTAAATACCCGAAGTACCCGGAGTTGACTGGGTGGCAAATATGAGCCGCTATGGCGGTAGTCAGTGTCTAAACAGTGATTATGGTGGGGGCCCTCGTGGCCTTAGAGCCTCAACTACTTAATAATAATAATAATAATAATTTATTTGCAAGAAGGAACAATGGGTTGGTGAGATTACATCAGACGTATTTGTACATTCTTGCAAAGCCACTAACACGCATATCGTTTCAGAGCGGTCCTTAATCTAACATATCAGGCAAGATGAAAAGGTACATTGTAGCAGGGTTATATATAAACAAATAACTACAATATAAGTTTACGTAGGTGATTACACTGGTAAGGATATATGTTTTAATTTAAAAATTCAAGTACTAGTATTGGGGAAGTTGGTAGTACAAGATACAGTGTGAGTTTGAAGCACAAGAAACTATGAGGATGAAATTAGATACTTTTTAGTTTTACTTTTGAACAGGGGCATGTTGTTGTTGTTATAGATTCAGCTACTCGGAAAAAGTTCCAAGTAGCACGGGCTATGGTGAGCCCGTAACTTAGCTGGCACAGGAGCGGGGCAAGTAGCACGGGCTATGGTGAGCCCGTAGTGGACTTACCTGGCACAGGAGCGGTGCCTCGACTCCTGCAGGGGCACGGGTTGGACAATTTTTTAATTCATCAGGGAGTGAGGTACTTCACCTCAGATTCTTCATGCTTCCTCCTTAATTACCATGAATTTTAATCCCTTATACTAGAGGTAAAGTGTGTTCTTGGTGAGGTGTGTCGAGGCGGTGACCAGCACCCACACCTGCATGACTAACCATCTGTAGAGCGACGGTCTCGCTTCTTGCAGGTCGAAGCAGGTCGAAGTTCAATCCCCGACTGTCCAAGTGGTTGGGCGCCATTCTTTCCTTCCGTCCCATCCCAAATCCTTATCCTGATCCCTTCCAAGTGCTATATAGTCGTAATGGCTTGGTGCTTCTCCTGATAGTTCCCTCTCCATTACTCTGCACCCCAAAATTACCTTCAGTCATTAATGACTCATTATAAGGCAGCAGTCAGAGCTATTACAAACTCCAGGCCCAGACAACACTCAGCTTTCTTACTGAAATCCTTAAATATGTAAAGTATCGTCACTGTACATCCTCGCAAGGGTGCCCTATATGTTGACCAGACCACACACACTAGAAGGTGAAGGGACGACGACGACGTTTCGGTCCGTCCTGGACCATTCTCAAGTCGATTGTGAGAATGGTCTTGAGACGGACCGAAACGTCGTCGTCCTTTCGCCTTCTAGTGTGTGGTCTGGTCAACATACTTTAACCACGTTATTGTGACTCATCGCGTGCCCTATATGTTCAAAACTCTGCACTGTAATGCAAATCCTGACCTTGAACACTTCCTTGAAGGCTGTAACAACTCATGGGTACTCAAAACTTTCAACAGTTATGTTGCCATATCTCTCTTAAATTTAAACATTCCCAAATAACACTGTTTATTTTATCCTACTTTTTTTCATGATATGGCCTCCATGTAAGCTATACATCCTAAAGTATAGTCTTTAATTACTGTAACTTTTACCTCAAAGTTATGGCTGAAACGGGCTATGTGTATTATAGTGACTTTATACAATGTTCTTGTCTTACCTATATATCTTCCTTTGTTTGTGTGTATGTGTATGCACATTTGTGTAAATAAAATTATTAGTATTATTATTATTGAGAAAATCTGTGGGAGCCGTGATGAGGATTCGAACCTATGTGCTGGGTATTCCCAGATTTTCTCATTGATACATAACGTTAGTGTGATTTAGCCCATTCAGGGTTTTATGCACTGCACCCTTATTCTCCTCACAAACTACTGCACGTCAGTAGTTTGTGCAGTTGACGAGAAGCGTTGGAGAACTACTGGACCATAAGCTAGTATACTTTAATTATATTATGTAGCAAGTGAGGGAGTTCGAATCCGCCTCAGGATTTTAGTTAGTTTTAGTTCCTAGTGATTTTATTATTATTTGTATTATGTTAAGCTCAGTTACGTTTCGTCGGGTTACGTTAGATTGAATTAGATTAGGTTAGGTTGGGTTTTGAATTGAAATTGAAATAAGTTTATTGAGGTAAAATATACACAAAGGGATGAGGTAGCTCAAGCTATTCTCACCCCTTTCAGTACATCGTATTAATACATACATAGACACACATCACAAGCAATAAACATATTACCGAACATTCTGAGAGGTAAACATATACATTTCCTGGGTTGGGTTAGGTTTGTTTCTAAAATCGCTGTGACATAAAGGTGTACATACATTTCTCATGTCTTAAAGCCTACGCGTGTTTACCAGGTCATCTCTCCACAGGTCACAGGTAACCAGTACAAGTACTCGTGCGCCGAAGTCTTCTCCCAGTACCTGGAAATAAGAACTGGATGGATTACCGGCCTAAGCCTCAGTATCTGCTTCTTCCAGGTGAGTTTTTTTTTTTTTTTTTTTTTTTTTTTTTTTGAGATATATACAAGAGTTGTTACATTCTTGTACAGCCACTAGTACGCGTAGCGTTTCGGGCAAGTCCTTAATCCTATGGTCCCTGGAATACGATCCCCTGCCGCGAAGAATCGTTTTTTCATCCAAGTACACATTTTACTGTTGCGTTAAACAGAGGCTACAGTTAAGGATTTGCGCCCAGTAAATCCTCCCCGGCCAGGATACGAACCCATGACATAGCGCTCGCGGAACGCCAGGCGAGTGTCTTACCACTACACCACGGAGACTTAAATAGTATAGTTAAGTTAAAACTTAAGTTCGTATAGTTTTGTTAATCTTCCAGGTGGAGAGAGCTCTCTGGATCCGTTCCACGGACATTTATCTAATCAACGTAGTTTACCCTTAAATTCAATTTTCTTTGTAAGAATAAATGAACTAAACTACTAACTTTGTAAATCAGTCAACAAATTTAATTAAGACGGCTTTGGCATGATGTTAAATTTATATATATATTTTTTTTTTTCAGTTTTTCTCCATGGCGTTTTCCATCTATACGTGGCAAGCAATCAACGAAATGGAATCATCGAAATAAACAGTTTACAGGTTTACAAAATAGCCTTTTAGAATAATTTGTTAATCAGTGTATTTTTAGATAACAATCATTGTTTGACATAATTGTAAAAAAAGTGGAATGATTTGATACTTTTGCCAGGATAGTTAAGTAGCAAATTTCTCACTTGTAAGTTTAAAAGAAGTTAATATTTAATTAAACTTAGCTAAGCTTGCATACCCGGCGTTGCGCGGGTGGTACACGGAGCTGGCCACATCTTCACTACATAGCGTGTTCATCACTGTAACCATCTTCACTACACACGACCGTCATCACTGTAACCATCTCTACTACACACGACCGTCATCACTGTAACCATCTTCACTACACACGACCGTCATCACTGTAACCATCTTCACTACACACGACCGTCATCACTGTAACCATCTTCACTACACACGACCGTCATCACTGTAACCATCTTCACTACACACGACCGTCATCACTGTAACCATCTTCACTACACACGACCGTCATCACTGTAACCATCTTCACTACACACTGCCATCTTCACTACACACGACCGGCATCACTGTAACCATCTTCACTACACACGACCGTCATCACTGTAACCATCTTCACTACACACGACCGTCATCACTGTAACCATCTTCACTACACACGACCGTCATCACTGTAACCATCTTCACTACACACGACCGTCATCACTGTAACCATCTTCACTATACACTGTCGTCATTGTCAACCTGCTTCCGACTGAGGCTGTGTATGAGAGCTTAGTTAACATGCGTCGATAGTAATTTTCTTGTATACTGGATGAATCTTAGTGAAGATAAAGTTTGGTATTGGCAAGTTGCTACTTGAAATCAAGGAGGTACATTGGGGGGCCGATCCCAACTCCACAATATCCGCACCCTTACCAGTCACCCTGCAAAGTTTAGTGAGGCTCGCCCCAGCATCTGGCCTACCCAGATGCTGGGTAGGTAATACCCCAGCAGGTGGGAGGCTTCACACTTAAACATTACAAACAAAAAGACCGCATTTGACCTTTACTGTGTGAAAATATGGGCAAGTACTAAAGTAAACTCAAGAAAAATATAACAAATTTAATTTAAAAAAATTACTTCAATACTTACAAATCTTTGCTGTTACACACGTATGAAATTAGAAGTAAAAAGAAAACATGAAAGTTAAATTTACGCTGAACAGATTATCTACAAACAAATTTAAGCCATATACAAATTATTAGTTAGGAAGCACCACAAACTGGGCAAGATCTGCTGGCGCAAGTCATGGTGAGTGAGCAGTGTAAAACACCCGTAGAGCACCCGGAGGAACTGACTTCTCAGAGCCGGTCAGGGAATAAGCACACCCCTGATTCGATTGTTGCCGCCAAAGGCGGCTAGTTTATTGCGCACCCCATACTCATCCTGTGAGCGGTAGCACAAAAGCATTACAGAGGGCACAAATTAAAGATCTTTATCAGACCTCATCTTAGATTATTACATAAACAATTTCATCTATCCTTCACACCTTATAGTTACAATGTCAGCTAGTTACAGAGAAAGCCCCTGGTAACGTCATATCCTGCGTCAACGCTGTTTTAACTATCAGCCGATATCGAAACGATCACTGGCATGTCTGCAGTCTTGGTGAAGTTGGTGGGGTGAGGGAAGGGGGCGTCTGGGCATCTCACAGTCTGGGACTCTGGTGCAAATGTAGATATATTAAGTCTTTATAGGTTGTTGACGAATTTTCGTCGTGGCGAAGATGACAACGATGAAGGTAGGATAGATGCCGTTTATATATATAATATTGTACAGAGTTAATGTAGCCGCTTTTGATCTGGGTAATTTGTTTTATATAGTTTTTAATGATACCATGAGACCCCGCATTATGCATATTATAATTGTATGGCAATAACACTTCAAACAAACTTTTATTGTGTATTAGCGTCTTGACATGACGTCTCGGTGTTGTTAGTTTAATAAAATTTGAAGATACTGCTGGTTTATTTATGTTAGCAAATTACGTAAATGTAGCTAATCTGAACTGTAATTCGCTTAGATAAACGCATTTTGAGATTCAGTTCCTGAGCCCATTATGTGTCTAGGTAAGCTTTTCCATCACCGCTCACAGAATGGGTATGGCATCCACTAGACCACCCACAGTACTCGCATAAATGAACTAAACTTTGACACCCACAGGGAGGAATATGTACACCCCAGAGGCGAACCCCATTTCACGGTTCACATGCATTGAAAGTTTACTTTAGTTATTGCCCATATTCAGAACCAAATTATACTTGCTGGTCTCCAACCTGTCCTCATGAAGATCTGCTCAAGGGAATGGATTGGAATCACCTAAATAATTAGTGTTATTTTCTACTCTCTAGCCGTAGTTAGGTTAAGGTTACTTTAGGTTAAGGTTTGGTTAGGTTAGGTTTCAGTACGTTTGGTTATGTTAATATGGATGTGGTGTATTATTGATTAAAATGTGAAATATGGAATTCAAAAACTATTTAAGTTTACCCGAGAATTCTCTTTACAGAACACCAAATCCTTAAAGGAAAATGTTTTCAGTATACACTTTTTATATTTTAATACAACTACTTATAGTACATTAAAGTTATAACTTGAGAATTATCTCTGTTTAGGACAAAGGTTCACTTGCCAGTTTACAAGTAGACTATTACTGGAACCGTAATATGCTTTCAAACCATCATAAATATCTAGATAGCTATCCTGGAAGTTTGAAGGGGGGGTTGTGGTTTCTCGTGGTAAAGTATTTGGTCTGAGGACGGCCTCTTCTACATAGTCCAGTACTAAGGTAAACTCAGCGTATATACACTGAGACATGTCTAAATCCCTTGGTCCTAATAACCTTCTAAGAGTAGTGATTCTTAATAGTTTTTGTTTGGAGGAATCCTTGAACTATTTTGTAAGACCTCGGGGAACCCTTACCTGATTGACACGTTAGGCTCGACACGAGTAAATTACAAAATAAACATGTTTACATGTAGGGTTAATAAATAATAATTAACTCGTGCTTTTGAATATTACAGGAGTATTTAATTGCCTACTTATATTTACAAATTGCTGTTAATAAAAATGGAAAGTCCATTTTACATCTGGATTACTGGTTACAATCACACATTGTTTGTATATTGTATCATAAGTTTATGTTAATATAATTGTTAAAAGTTGGTAACAAAAGTGTTACATTTTACTGTTTAATAATGCATTCACAATTGAAAATACTACATATCAATAAAATGACATTAATAATAATTGTCTTCTAATTTAAAGTGAAACTTTGGTTTGCTTTTTTTAACACAGCATCTAATTAATTCGTGATCACACACACCACGTTCCCTTTTCACAGACGGCAGTCTATTCTTGCTTAGTTTTTATTTCGGTTAATTCCGAAAATACTTGTGAGTACGACATTGTGATTGAACCAATATGTTCATCCTTTTAGGGAGGTAGTAGGAAATTGCCGTCACTGAGATCCAAAACACATTAAATTAACTTTTAGTGTGTGTGATCACACTTCAATTTAGTGAAGTGTCATTCCTGCAGGTTGAGCATATTATCTGAGCTGTTTGGATGCTTAATTAAAGGTAGCCAAGTAGTACTCTTTCACAAGCTTTTACAACCTCCCGTTCAGAGGTTCTTATTGGTCTTCAGCCCAACACCAAACCAAACCCTATTTCTTAGTGTATTTTGAGTTACTTACAAAATTCAATGCACGATGTGCATTGAATTTTGTAACTATAGCTCATCAAGATTGCAGCTTGCTTAACTAAATGAATTGTGGGGTTCAGTCCCTGAGCCCATTGTGTGCCTCTCTAACCCTTTCCACTACCGCCCATAAGATGGGTATTAGGTGTCTAATAACTTAACTAAACTTAAAAAAAACTTAGTGTATATACACATAGTCCATAACTCTTGTGAGTCTGAATCCTTATATGACTTCTGTGAGGTTTCTTTCCATGGTTCATAGCTAAAATGTTTTAATGTAAATGCTTAATATTAAAGTATACTGTAGTCTATGTAAATAATTAGATTAAACGCTTATTTTGTTTATTGTGCTCGAACTTCTTTAATTACAATTCCAGTGATGCGAGAAAAATATATAATGATGCAGATTTATGTAATTTTTTGTTGTGCTTGTTTGTATTGATTATTTAAACTTGATTTAGTTAAAAGTTAATTATAAATATTAGTTTACTTCAGGTATTATTTTAATTTATATTTAAATGTACTCAACTGTTTACATAGTCAAAACGTATAGATTTTAAATGCCCTGGGAAATTATACCTAAGTTTAGAGCACTCAAGGTTAACTTGCTCAGACGTTTAAATACATTCAATTTTAGTTTGTGTATTGTGTATAAGTACAAAGTATACATTTGTACTGAATTATTTCAGAATTAAGGTATATTTGCAGCATTGCTAGTAATAAATTGCACTGGCTGTAATCGGAACAGAAGTCAACCTATAGTAATTACACACATGTAAGGTACCCACCTTCTCTGACAATGTGCGATTAAAGTTAACTTTTATTCTGGAATATGTTCAGAACCAACGCAAATATGTTGGTTGGTTGGTTGGTAAGCTACAGTGCGGCCTTATTAACCCTGCACAGGCTGATAATTCCAAAACTATTTAGGAAGTAGAAAAACTTGATTACCTTAAAATGTTAATGTAATGTATTAAGTTGTACCTAGATTAAGTTGGTTTTTCATATTGTCGGTAGTTGTAACTGTTTTATTTGAATGGTTGTATTTAATTAAATAAATAAATACATTTAATAACTGGATGACACATTTATTATCTAAATCTGAATGAAAAGAATGTATACTAAAATAAATGCAGTATTAAACATTGTTATATCATGAATATTTAATGGGAAAAACAATATTAAACCGGTTACATCTGTACAGGAGAATTGTATTTATTAAAGCGGACGAATATATTTAATATATAGACTACAAGTATCTAACAAGATTGATAGTAACAAAATATAATTATATTGCTTCTTTGATCTTTTTTTGTTAAAATATTTAGTCACACAGGTGGATATCTGTTTTTATATTTTTGTTTCCCCTTTAACTAGCGGCATAGGACCAGAGTAAATTATTATAATAATCATTTCTATTTCATTGTTTTTATTAACTTTGTTTTCATATTTGTTTGTAAATCTTTGATTTTTTTAAAAGTTGTTAACAATTATTTACTAACTTTTACAAGTTATAATAAGTAAAATTAAATTTTTCATAGTTACATCTAATTATTTTTTATAAAATAATTATATTTATTAATAATTTTTTCAAACTTAGGTATTCATTGCAGTTTTCTCGACAATGTGTTTAATA